TAAAGATGCGAGTATCAGAGTAATACTCTCTCTCTTTCTGGTACCCCTCAGGAGCTTTGTGGCTGCATTTTGAACAAGTTGCAGGCGGGACAGGCTTGAGTGACAGATGCCTAAATAGAGAGAGTTACAGTAGTCAAGACGTGATGATATGAAGGCATGGATAACGGTTTCCAGATCTTTAGATGGCAAGATATTTTTGAGTTTAGAAATGCTCCTGAGTTGGAAAAAACTGCCACAAACAACTGAGTTTATTTGTTTGTCCAGCTTGAGGGTAGAATCGAAAATGAAACCAAGATCTTTTCAATGGGGATGTACATTAGCTGATAGTGGGCCCAAGTCATTTCTTATGCGACTAACAGAGTCTTGTTTACTGAAAAACTCTGTCGATGTCAGAGGTCAGAGAAGGGTAGTCAGACTTGTTCAAACTTATAAAAAGGCAACAGTAAGTCAAATAACCACAGGTTACAAGCGCATCTCTGGATACACAACAATGGGTTACAGCAGCAAAAGACCACACCAGGTGCCACGCCTGTCAGGCTACAGTTTGCACGGGTTCACCAAAATTAGACATTAGAAAATAGGAAAAATGTTGCTTGGTCTGATGACTCAATTTCTGCAGCGGCATTTGGATGGTGAGGTCATACCATGGAATAAGCAACATAAAAGCTTAAATCCCTCCTGACTTGTATTTACTGGTTCAGTGTGGTGGATTCACAGGTTTCTTTGTTTGTCTGTTTGTTTTATATATTTAGCTCTATAGAAATGGTTGGAAATCATTATTGAGACCTAAAATAAATCAAATGTTCATATTGATTCTTTTGATAATTGTTGCTGCACCGTAACATAACATTTGAAAGCATAAACTTTTCCTATTTATTGATCTTTGCTGCATATTCTCACCTGATGAGTTCAAAACGGTTGTGCATTTCTTTTCCAGATGGAAATACTGAGGTGGAAGTGAAACCGCTGAATGGTAAAGTGCATTTCAAGCTAAATAACTTAAAAACATTGAATGTTTTTCCGTAGGTTTGATATGTGTGAGGATGCTGTTTCATGTTGCAGGGCCGCATTCAGCTGGAAGCTCAAAGATGTGGTTAAACATGCTGACCGCGATTCCTGCTGCAGTGTTTAAGCCCTTTGCATGCTATTTAATAAGAGGTTCACACATTATATTTAGAGCACGACTACACAAAAGCTGCTGTTGTGCGTTTCAGGTTTGCATCACGGTGTCATCCCCGCTGCTGTGCTGGCAGCGTTGCTAATCTTTATCCTGCTGGCAGGGGTAATGTGGTTTCTGTACAAGAGGAGCTCCGGACGTTTCCAGCGGCTCCCCACGCTCGGCAGCGCTTATTTCAGGCAAACGGACTCGCAGGCTACGGAGTCAGATGGAAACGTTCTCATCGCAGACCTGGAGCCTCCCTCGGCAGAGTAGCACACGTTGGCTTGTTTCTTCCTCGAAGCCTCTGCTGTCCTCCCGCGCTCTGTCACCTTGTCACCGTCAGGTACGGATGCCGCGCTGCACTGTAAAACTGTGATGCTGACTCCTCAGGACAGTGGTGAGATGATGACGGCAAGCAGTTTTGAGCGCGTCTCTAGTTTTCATTTACTCGCACCATTTAGGTCACCAAACACTTGCAAAGACACTTGAAGACCACAGACTAAGAGATCACACAGACCAAGAAGGGACGCTAAAGAGCTTTGGACTTGTTTGAAGAGGTTCCGTTTGATGTCATCCGGGATTTATTCTGTTATGATTTGTAAACAGTGTTAAGGAGAATAATTTAAGACATGCTCTTGGGCTTCTTTTCAGGGCAAAAAGTCACTTTTATTGTCAAGCATGAGTACGGTTCATGATAAAATATTCTTTACAATGATGCTTTGTTCAGTCAGACTTCTGTTGATGGGTCTGTATGCATGGTACAGTATTTTGTCAGTATTACTTATTTTGTCATTTTTTATTCTTTCATGTGTACGTGCTGTATGTTGTTCATGACCAAATAAGTACCGGGACTGAATGGATTTGCTTGGTTCTGGCTGCTGACGAAAAGAACACAGAGGGATATATGTTTTGCACAGTTTTATTTGTGTTTTAATAAATCAAATTTGGTTGAATGGTTCCTGTTAGTTTCATTATTACTTACTTTCAATTTGCCTGGTGTTGTTTTCTTTGTATCATCACGTTAACCCCAACACTTCCTCTTATACGGTCAACTTAAAAGATGCCAGCAGAAACCACAGTGAGGTTGTGCATCTCGTATTTAACTATGTTTTGTCTTTTGGGCATTACTGTTTTTACCAGAAAGA